TTTTTGTTGCTGACTTTCGGTGTCCAACATGGATAAGAAAACTTTTGAGAAGCTCGTACTGAAGCTCAACAATTGTTTCAAGTGAGGACTGCGTCTGTTTGTGCTTCCTTCTCTCTGCCATTTTTCTGGGAACAAAATTAAATTTTTAACCAAAATTACTTCAGAATTGTTTTAAATGTCGGTTTTTTGTTGTCGTGTTAATGGTTTTAAATAATTTAGCAGCGTGAAATACTCTTCCTTGGATTTCCGAACTTCATAATTACTAAGCAAAAAACTTAATGAATTTAATTGTTAAAAGTACTAATTAAAGCATGAAAAATATTATGCAGTACTTATATCTTATGTACTTTGCTTTTTTGTTATAACTTGGTTCTTCTGGTGGTTCGTTTACAGTTCTAGACGTACTTATCATACTTAACTTATGATATAAATTAAAGTCATACTTCGAACAAATATGATATGTCAAATATGAGGGCTTTTACATAATTAAATATTACATAAAGATAATAGTTAATTGATGTGTATTATATTAACAATTTTGAATTAGTAACTCAACAATAGGTACAATAACACTGGTCAACAAAGATTTTATCCTAGAGACGTTGTTAAGAGATCCTAGACGTGTTTTTCGTGCTGATTCCGAATCTGTATTTAGATTCTTTCTATCACGTCTAGATTCTTCAAAACAGTTGAATGTATATTTTTGCTATAAAGTCGTAATTTACCTACTGCTCAAAAAGTATCCGGATTTTGTTGTTTGTTAACTACTTTTTAAGTAATAGGCTTTTTTCAAAATATTTTTTTTTGTTATGTTGGTACACCCTTTCTTGACATATGATACAAATTTCAGTGCCATCTGACAATTAGTTTGTTTACAGCAGCTGTTAATGTGAGACTACCTCAAGTGCATTTAGCGATTTTTACTATGGTCATCGCTCAGGCACCATATTCGCCAGATCTGGATCCGTGCGAGTTTTTTCTGTTCCCGAAACTCAAATTGCCCCTTCGTGGTAAGCGTTTTAAGTCGATTGAATCGATAAAATTCGCCGAAGGAACTAAAAGCCATACCTTCACGGGCCTTTGAAAAGTGTATGAAAGATTGGGTTAAGCGTTGGGTATTTCATTTATATATGATATATATAGTATAAATTATTTTCGTGATGTAAATATATGTATATAAATAACGTGGTTAATAAATATGTATAAATAATAATATTACGAATTAATAAATCTGATGGACCTCATCTTATAACGCAAGACGATTTAAACGATCTAGTGCGCGATTTAAAGTTGTGCAAAAAGAAGAGTGAAATCTTAGGATCACGATTAAAGGGTTGGAAATTGTTGAATCCAAAAACTAAAATTTCTATGTATCGATCTCGCCATGACGAATTTAAATTATTCTTTTCTCAAGAAAACAACCTTATTTTTTGTAATGATGTTCTATCTGTTATGGATACTCTTAATTTTGAATACAACGATGATGATTGGCGTTTGTTCATTAATTCTTCTAAGGTCAGTTTAAAGGCTGTTCTCTTACATAATGGAAATGAAATTCCCTCAATACCGTTAGCCCATGGAACTGATATGAAAGAAACTTACGAGAATATGCAGTTTCTCTTAAAAAAAATTCAATACGAAAGATATAAGTGGAAAATTTGTGGTGACCTAAAAGTTATTGCAATTTTACTAGGCTTACAACTTGGTTACACGAAATATTGTTGCTTCATCTGCGAGTGGGATAGCAGAGACAGAGAATTGCATTACTTGAGAAAAGATTGGCCACAACGTAAAGCACTCGTTCCTGGAATCAAAAATGTCCTCTTCCAGCCTTTGGTCGATCCTAAAAATATTCTTTTGCCACCTCTGCACATTAAATTAGGACTTTTTAAAAATTTTGTTAAAGCCATGGATAAAAATGGTGGTGGTTTTACTTATTTGAAGCAAAAATTTCCTAAAATAAGTGAGGCAAAGATTAAGGAAGGTATTTTTATTGGGCCACAGATTAGAGAACTGCTGAAGGACTCGGATTTCAACAGCAATTGAGTTCAACAGAAATTAACGCGTGGAACTCATTCAAAAATGTAGTTGAGCATTTTTTAGGAAATATGTTGGCTGAAAATTATCGCGATCTGGTGGCTAATCTAATTGATTCATACCAAAAAATGGGCTGCAATATGTCTTTAAAACTTCACTTCCTACACTCTCACCTGGACTTTTTTCCACCAAATCTTGGCGCCGTTAGTGATGAACATGGTGAGCGTTTTCACCAGGATATTTTACACATGGAAAAACGCCACAAAGGAAATTTCACTAACATGTTAGCAGATTACTGCTGGCCACTAAAAAGGGACTTACCAGATGCTCAATATGCGAGAAAAACATAAGTAAGTACCATTTTTTAAATTCACGATTTATTTGCTGAAACCCCTTGAATCACCCGTTAATCTGGTTGTCTAAAGAAAACTAGACGTGATAGAAAAAATCTAAGTCCAGATTTGGAATCAGCACGCAAAATACCTCTAGGATCACTCAATAACATATCTAGGATAAAAAAAAAATGTTTTTTTGTTGACCTGTGTAATCAAATCATTCCATATGAAGTGCTATAATGAGTTGACAAAAATGAGTATATGGATAGCCAAGCAGCAAACACGACATTTTCGTTTTAAAAACTCTATACGAGTTTCTTGTTCGGAGTGCTCTGACACGCTGGGGTTACTGGACCAAATTGTATTTTTCTCATCCTAGAATGGATGGCAATGAAACAGTGGATAACCTCAGAAGAACCGAATAACCCAAACTTTTTGGACAGTAGGTTTGTTGTTAAATTATCGGAATTACAGCAACTCATATAATTGCTTGGACAAAAGCTCAAGAATTATTTGACCCATACTTATGCTTCTTTAATTTAATTCAAATTAGGTATTGCGATTTATTTGACCTTATGTTGTCATCTTATTATTATGGATCTGTTTGAGATTTTAGAATGTCTTCTCTGTCACATTTTTTGTTACGATCGAACTTTGATTTATGTTAGCCTACAAAATTTATGCAGAAATATCACGTTTCTTTGGGAGTTAAGTAAATTTGTCTTGTTGATGACTGCTTTATCTACATGAGACGATCCGATAATTTCAATTTTCACCTTAGGTCGATCTTTAAGAACTATTCCACATGGAATATAAAGTTTAATCCTAAGTAATATTGGTTTGTCAACGAAGATAATTCAGATGATTCGAAGCCTCTACTGGGAAAGTAATGCTGCGGTCTGGGATGGCAATAAATTATCAGAATGGTTTAGAACAAATATGGGAGTAAAACAGGGGTGCGTTTTGAGTCCTTTGCTGTTTGCACTGTTTCTAGACGACTTGACAAAAATTTTACCCGGTGGTATAGAATTTGGTGGAGTGGGCTTAAAAATCTTAATGTATGCAGATGATATCGTATTAATATCGGAAACTCCAAGGATGTTACAATTGATGATTAATAAATTGAATGAATATTGTAAAATGTGGAGTTTAAAAATAAATATTAATAAGTCGAAAATCATGATATTCAGGAAATACGCAAGAAAACTAAGAGCTGAAGAAAAATGGCTGTTGGAGGAAGAATACATAGAGGTGGTTAACCAATTTAAATATCTAGGGATATGGATAACTTATAATACATGTTTCGGTAAACACATCTTAGAGAAATTAAAAGAAGGTAAATTGGCAGTAAACAGTACTTGGCGTAAACTCTTAGGGAACAAAGAAGTCTGTCCAGCGGTGAAACATAAAGTTTTCGAGACGGCAGTTAGAACTATAGTAACATATGGGACAGAAGTTTGGGGTGTGGAGAGATATGAAGAACTGGAAAAATTACAAAGGAACTACATTAAACGTGCATTTCATTTACCAATAAACACACCGAACTATATGTTACATTTGGAAACGGGATTACCGTCGTTACATATAAACACGCTTAGACAACATTTCAGATATATAAATCGAATACTAGTTTTAAAGGAAAGTCGTCTGACAAAAATAGTAACTCAAAAATTATTAAGCAATAAAACCTTATTTTTCAAAAACTGGATGGATATGGCAACAGAATTAGATGAACCTTTACAAATACAAGAGACTAGATCCTGGAAAATATGGCAAGAAGTTATAATAAGTAAGCAAACAAGCAAAGAACGAGTACAATTCGAGTACGCTGCGAGAACGAGCCTAACGAGAGCAACATACAGTACACTAAATTACGATTTGAAGGATAACAATTATTTTAATTCCAAGTACAGAGAAATAGATATTACCAGAATATTTAAAACACGAGGCGAACTATTACGCTTGGCATATATTCCTTACGAAAGCCAAGTAAATGTAGACTGCACCCTTTGCAATCTTGGTGTAATTGAAGACGTCCAACATTTTATGGGGATCTGTCCTATATTACAGGAGATAAGGTTTAAGTATTTTAGAAAAGTATCTTTAGAAAAAACAGATGTAATTTCATTATTAAATGAAGAAAATTGGTTCTTGCTTAGCGCTTTTATTAATGAAGCAACTATTTATAGAAAAAAAATAATGGACAAAATATTTTGAAAGAATTTTAAATATTATATAAATTAACATGTACACCTTTTAAATGCATTTTTATATAAATATGAAAGTTGTTAAAATTAACATAGAAAAAAAAAAAAAAAAAAAAAAAAAAAGAAAGGGTGTAATAATATTAAAATAATGGAAATATTGAAATGAATAAATTAAAATTAAATATTAAATTAGGCGGAGGAGTTTTGACTCATAGCCTTCTTATACACAGCTGTTATAAAAAATCTGTAAATTTGTAATTTTAAATTCAATTGAATAAATATAATTAACTAACATTTTTTTTTTTATAAAGTTTAATCCACGCAAAATCTTAGATATTGTAACTACTACCTTGCAGCGAGACCATGTTTGAAGATTTCATACCTCACTAATCGATTAAAAGATTGCAAGTGCTTCAATCCAGTTGTTACAACCCCAAAACAAAATTTTAAAACTCATGTGAGGTATGGCAATCACAACGTCACTTCCGGGTATATCGAACTCAAAAATGTTCTTCGTAATCGTAATCAGTTAAACTGCAAAAAGAAGATTCTTCGTTTTAAAGAATTTATTCGGACATTACTTGCGTACGTCTTTTCTATTTGATCTGTAATCAGTTTGTCTCAAAATTTGAATTTGAATATCTATTTGAGCACCAAAAATAAGCACAAGCGTAACGGAAATATTTTTTAAAATATCATGCCCCACAGCAAAGTCCAGATTACTGTAATTGACGATTATCGACTCGCACTGCCTCGAAGGTACCTCATCCGTTTTTTGATGATATTCAACTTAACACCCTGCTGTGTAACTTAGTATTTGTCATGGCGATAACGCCTTTCAAATACCTTTCATTGTAATTCGTTGAATTGCATTCAACATTCGATCCGCCTCTCGTGGTTCTAGTTACAGAATCTATAATTGACCAGCCATTATTGCCATTACTGCCACATGTAGAATAACCCCACGCTTTTCATATCTCACCTAATTATTGATCATAAATTTAGTTTTCCAAGTACTAGATGTATGTACCCTATAACTCTTTTATGATTATTGGAATGAGATTCTCAAGAGCATGAGTTTCATGGTCAGTGATTGGAATCTTCCTTATAACATAGTGGGTTAAAGTGTCACACTGAGTATTGATGCCGTTTACCTTTTCTATCGAAAAAAAATTTTTAGTATTTAAATTCAAGTGGCTCTTTCTATTGAATTTGTGTATTTTGATCATATCTTTCAAAATCGTTTTTAATATAAGCGAACACTTTTAAGTAATAGAAATATGTATCGTAAAAACTACTTTTATACAAATAAATTTGCTTAAGTAATATATTTTATTAATACGAAAAGCTTAGTTTGGGTTATTTTATCATCATTGACAAGGATGTGGTATGTAGGTATGTAGTCAATCAGTTAATTTAACCCAAATTGATGTATTAAAAAGATTAAATTTATGACTCATATAAGTTTATTTCGACTATCACATGAGTACCATTACACATTACTCTCATTATAAAGTTTTTGCTATGGAAAATGTTGAGAAGGTATCAAAGAAGTGAAATTCTTTGAAGTTTTGTATATCTAACGCAATACTTGGATGAAAGTTTAATTTTTAAAATGTTTGAAATTTTCATAATTTTACATAAAAGATGCCATTTTTTATGATATAATAAAAATATAAAATCACAATCCTATAAGGTATCCTTGTGACTTTAATATAAGTTTACAAAAAGATTTTCACTGCTTTTAGCCATTAAGAAAGTTTGTCTTTTTCTCAGTGTTTTTTCACTACTTTCTAAACTAAGTCAAATTACCATAAACTAAAAAGTCAGCGCAATGTTCAAAGGCAGCAGCACGAAAAAAAACAAAAAACTTTCTTCTTAGATATTTTTTTAGTTAAAAGATTGAAGGACGACTAAGGTGGTCAGCCAAGCAGAGCTAATTCAATGAAGTGCGACGCATACAGCACTTCAACATCACCACGCAGGGAAGATTGCCATCATCTATCCTGGGGAACATTATGCTGAATTTCTAATGTTGTTTTACATAAAAATTACCTCGACTGAACGCTTAAAAATAGGCAGTGGTTTTTTTCTATTCACGCTTGCTTTTTTTAAATGCTTTGAAGTTCATGCAACTGTCCTTGTGATTGTTCTAACGCTTCACTCTAAGAGTTGCAGTTGTTGCCCCCTCAAGTCGGTAATTTTTATTATTGTTTTCCTTTTTCTTGGCTTGTAATCTCACTGAAATATTTTTAAAGCTTTGACTACAGCCATAATGAAATTTTGAACTTGACACAAAATGTACACTTGACGGTTGCCGTTATTGTCGGGGGTTACCTCGACGTCGTTGGTGATTTAAGTTAAAATTAAAGTTAATGTCATTGAATGAAATGTTTCTTTCATTATACTTGCTTTTTATGCAAGCCATTTAACAATTACTTTATAAAGGAAAATATTTTTGTATATAAATGAGATTATTTTTAAATATGTATTTTACACTTTTAAATTTTCTCAGTATTAAGAACAAATAAACATAAAGGTCCTCATACTATCGAAGTTTGATTTAAAGATGTAGTTAATTTTATGCTTGCTTTTCACAATTTTTACGAAGTTTATTCTATATTATTAATTAGATTTTAACCACAGAAAGCACAGTGCTCACATTAAAGGGGCCAATCTTAATTGTTATGTATCATTTATACTCCAAACAGTATCTGGTCTCGGCTGCATTTTAATCATCGCCAACCATTTTCCTGCACAGGTAGGGCATGTCTTCGGCACATTCCAAAAATTTTGTTGCCAAATATGTTAAGTCAATTTGATTCTTTTCAGCAGTGTAACAAAATTACCAAGAAATCATTCACCTAAAAAAATAATAGACTGAACATACTCTAAAGAAGTTGCATCGTAGATGTTGTCACAATTGCCCTGTCTATCTGCAGGGTAGCAGAAGAACGATAACTTCTAAAGTTAATTGTCGTCGTACACTACTAAGTGAGACAAGAGAATCGAGGTCAAGCGTCTAGAAATATATTTCACTCTAGATGATTTAGATGTTTTTCCGAGATCCCTTGCTTTTTAAATAGTTAAAAGAACGAATGATGATGTTGATGATGATGATAGGTGATACTGAAAAGTATATGCGATTTTTATCACTAGTTACCCATATATCTGGTTAAGATTAATACCAACAGTCATTAAAGACGCTAATAAAATTTTGTGACTAAACGAGTGAGACCAACATGTAAGCTGTCAAACTGACTACAATTCGAAATCATTTAAAAAAGTGGGCAATATAAAGACCCTCGATGTTTGGATACAATATAAATTAACGCAAAGCAATTTGATTGATAAAATTACCATCAATTAAAAGTGTTGTGGAAAAGTGATAAAATTGATTGATTTTTGAAACGAATCATTACGGGTGAAGAAAAGTTGAGATAAAATATTAATATTTAATATATTTTTATTTATTTTTTATCTGACTATAGGTCACTTTGCATTCAAGTTAATATTAAACGGTTGATAAATATTTTTTTAATATATTCTATATTTCGACTCGCGTTGTGAGCCATTATCAAGGTAGTGGGATTGAAAGGGGACTTATTTATCATGAACTACTCCAATGCTTAATTTGGTCCTGTATTAGTCAAAGTTATCCGTTAAAAAAAAAACAAAGCATCAATTAAAAGAAACAAAAACCAATTAGTATTGCCCCTTATGATAATACCAGACCACACATATCATTGATGACTCGAAATGAATTAAAGCAATTCGGTTAGAAAGTTTAGACGTATCGATCATAAGCTTGAACCTTGCAACATTAGATATAATTAGATATACCAGGATTTTATGAACTCATCAAAAGAAGAACTTAGAACCATTACAGGAGTCTTAACAGGGCACTGTAAACTAAAATATCACCTTACGAGACTGGGTATATATACGAATGCAAACTGTAGGTTCTGTGAAAAGAATGAGGAGTCAACACACATGTGCTGTTAGAATGTTCTGCGATAATGGACATACGGAATAGACTTCTGACAATGTATGTTCTTGCGGAAGAAGCAATAAAACTCTATAAAGTAGGTTCTATACTATTTTTTATTGACGTAACAGGTCTTAGATACCTATTGTATACCTAGAACGGGCGATCCGACGATCGCAGTGTCACATCCCTTAACAATAATAATAGATATGGTTAAAATTAATTATTAATAAAGAAAATTTTTGTTCAAATATGTATCAAAAAACTGCGAATACCTTTTATATTAACTAATATATAATATATAATATATAATGTTTGTATTTGATGTCAATCTATTAGAAAACTATCTTATATACTTTCTGCTCAAAAAGTACTCGGATTTTGTAAATAAAACATACACATTTAAATTTTATACCAAATTTATTTTATCTTCTTTAAAATATGCTCCTTCTGAAGCGATACACATATGTCAGCGCTTAACCCATTCTTCTATACACTTTTCGTAGGCTCGTGCAGGTATGGCTTTTAGTTCCTTCGGCGAATTCTCTTTTACCGATTCAATCGACTCAAAACGCTTACCACGAAGGGGCAATTTGAGTTTCGGGAACAGGAAAAAGACGCACGGAGCCAGATCTGGCGAATATGGTACCTGAGCGATGACAGTGGTGCCGTGTTTGACAAAAAATCGCGTACAACAACAATTTTCCATAGTAAAAATCGCTAAGTGCACTTGAGGTAGTCTCACATTAACAGCTGCTGTAAACAAACTAATTAACAGATGGCGCTCAAATTTGTACCATATGTCAAGGTGTACCAACATAACAAAAAAAAATGTTTGAAAAAGGTCCATTACTTAAGGAGTAGTTAAGAAACAAAAAAATCCGGATACTTTTTGAGCAGAAGAATGGTATGGAATAAAATCTTATTTAGAAGAATATCTTATATAGAAAAATATCTTATATACAAAAGATTATTTTATATATTAAATTTAGTAAATGTAATATCTATAAAAAATAAATATTCGTAATGATTTTAATTTGCATGCAATTCCATTCAAACCTTATAATCAGTTTCGTCCTGAAATGGGCATTCAACTCTCCTACTTATTTAATAAGCGTATTATAATAATAAGAAAAAAATTAGACGGTGCCTGAAAGAGAAGTATTTCTTAATAACGCTTTTGTGTACTGTACGCTCAATAAAAAACTAAGAGATAAATAAATACTCCAAAACTTCAATATTGCATTTTTATCTCAAATTTGTAAATTCAATTTTATGCTTATAAATAAAAATAGATGCAAGCAACTTGAAGATATAAAATTGCATTATTTAGAAAATATGATAAAAGTTTTGCACTACAAATGGTGAAAAGGAAAAATTACAAAAAGATAAAATCTTGCTGAAATCTTTTCTTATAAGTTACCTAAAAAAGTAGAAAAGAACTTATGGAAATATGTAGGAGTGTGTACTGGTTCGTAAGTACATATTTCATCTCCTTTTCCGAAATGAGTTCTTTGGAAGAAGTTGAAAAATGTTGAAAAACGTTGAAAATACGTTGACATCTTAAGACGAGAGTAAGACGAGAAATGCGTTAGACAATTCAGCGGCATGGAAGAAATGTATTGCTTCGCCAGTGTGAAGAGTGGATAGCTGGTGGCGGCAGAATGCATCAGACTCGGGAATAACAATAGTTAAGTTTAAAGTGAATTTTGAAAACATTTTTATAAACACTTTAGAAGTTATGAACAAATACAAACTATGAAAAGTTAAATTTTTGGCATACCGAGCACGAAACGTGTTAAAAAAAATTCCTTACTTCAAGTAGTATTTATTTTTATTTATCTGTTGCGAAAAATTTAAAAGAAAATTGCTTTTTTTTCTTCAAAAGTATTTCTATTCCTTCAGATACTCGTATATGAAGTACGAGTGAGTATAAGAATAGTTGAAGGAGATTTTGGTCAGGTTTCTGTCAAGCCAAGACAAGCGAAATGTTATAATATTAGTAACAAAAGTGGAAAAAGATGGAGCGCTAATGCTAAATGAAGTGTGAATAAAAAAGTTTTTAAATTAAACTTTCTTCGACTTTTAACGCTTTTTGGTGTAACTACGAATTTATTTTTAAATAAAATCCCTATTTGCATTCGAACAAATAAGCGGAAATTGGTTTTCAGAAATTTTAAAA